GCAGTCGTAAACCTGTGAAATAATTCCATTTATATTTGCGTCAACTGGTATTGCAACAGTACTTACGTGTGGAGCAGCAGAAGAAACATACGATGCAGTGGTCCTACAGAAAGAGAAGCGGAAGACACGCAGTGGCGATGTGAGAGTCACACGGCCACGAAAAGTTGGTCCACTCTCCGCAGCTGGCACCAAGATGTACACAGGCAGCGAACCAAAGCAAGAGAAAACCTGTGAAAAAAATTCATTATAGCTGCTTAATTAAATTTTGCAAAAGTACTTACGAGTGCAGCGGTGGTTTTGCAGTAATTCAAAAAATGCTGTTAAGAGGCAGCCGATCAAGTTGGTGGAATGCACGGGCACACAAAACAGCAAAACACCTTTGGAATAGTTTTATTTATAGTTTCCTTATCGGATATACATAAAATACTTACGATTTGAGGAATTCTTTTCCCAAAAAAAAAAAACGTTAAATGCGGAAATTTTTTTTTTATCTAACAAAAATTAATTTTAACTCCGATTGTCAACGGGATAAAAAGAAAGACGAAAACGTTGATCAGTGATGCCAATGCATGTCGATCTATGCTTTTGCTTGTGTGAGTACCATTTTTAGTACTTTTTCATGAAAATCGCTCTGATATAAAAAGTACTTTGTCAAAGCGGCAAATTGAAATTTCTAAGGGAGTTCAAGATGGCGATTAGAGCGAGAAAAACGCGAACGTATAACACCTTCTTTATTGCATCATGCTTTTTCACAACATTGTTGTCTGTTAGCAAAGCTAGAAATTTTTTTGCTATTCGTTTATGTCTATGAAAAAATCAGGGACCGAAAATAATAGTTGATTTTCAAAATTTCAATTCAAAAANCCGCGAACGTATAACACCTTCTTTATTGCATCATGACTCGTATTATGTACCTGTGGAATGTATGTTCCAACAGGGCTACCAACATTACGACGGCGCTGAATAGTGCTGCCGTATTGTTAGCGATGCCATTACATCACCCTCCTTGAGAAAAGATTTTTGCAAGGTGGTCAGGCTTGCAAGAATCGTTCGATTCAAGAGCAATGCAAAATCGATAGGGATACGAGATATTTATTATTAATATTGTAAGCTTGTTTCCTTCCCCCTTTAACTCGTTCGTCCATATCAACTTTCGGCTGTGATAAAGAGTTCAAAACGTATATTAAATAATTAACACTATTATTATATCCACTTAGCTAATTGTGTTAATTTAAAATATCAATTTGATATTAAAGAATATACATAAGTATGAGTTTAATAGTTGTTTTTTTTCTCTTATTTACTAATCGTATGCAATATATGGATTGTACATAACTATTTGTACAGAAATTACAACATATTCACTTACGTGTTTTTTTTTGTATTCCACTAATTTAATTTTTTTGTTTTAATATGACTATTGTTTTAAATTAATTGAACTAGCGCGAGTGATCGGCAATTTGTTTTTTCTTCCAATGCCATATAAAATATATACTTATGTGTAAGGTTTATTAATCCCAAATTTGATTTGATGATACCGAGCCCTAACCGCCAAAAGGGCGTAAGCGACAACCTGTACGATTTTCTGTTTTTGACGGAAATCGATTACCTACCACCATACGCACCAGCTGTCAAAATTTCAAAGTCTATTAAATAATTAAAACTATTATTATATCCACTTAGCTAATTGTGTCAATTTAAAATATCAGTTTGATATTAAAGAATATACATACGTATGAGTTTAATAGTTGTTTTTTTCTTTTTTTATAATTATAAGCTTTTATTTAACTTGGTCATCCCGCGCAAATCGCGGAAATTTCCAATCGATTTTAAGCTGACTTCCCGACAAGTTAGAGACTTGAAATTTTCAGCATAGTTCCAATAACGATGACAATGCAATTTAAAATATAAATGAATTCCCCATATGGTCCAGGGGTCTTGATTCAAAGGCGGTCAAAAAATAGTAAGATTTATGGCTAACAGAGCGTAATTGCCAAAGAACGTAAAAAAAAACGTTAAATAAAATTAACTGCTGCTATATGTACATATGTATGTTTATACAAAACAAAAGCAAACAACAGTTTGCTTGCCAAGTCTTCTGTTCTCTTTCATTGCAAGTTGAATTATTTTAATATCTATTGCAAAATTTTGTACATAAAATAAAATAACACTTTTTAATATACAACGCTTTTATAAATGGACTAAAAATTATAAAATAAAATATGTAATGTAAAAAAAATATTTTTTAAAAACAAGCTTTTATTTAACCTGTACAATCAAAGGAATAAAATGAAGTAGTGTAACAAAAGATTTTTTAGCAAGAAAATTTTGTAAAAACTGCACTAAAATTAATAAAATAAAATAAGTTAAGGTCTCGTTAAAGTTACTAAAAGCCATTTAGTGAATGGAGTTATTCAAACTCTAATGAAAATTACTAACAATTTGTACTAATATACTTCGTTTTTAAAAAAGCTTGTCAGCGAATTCAGCGTACATGCATAGTTGGTTAGGTATGTATGTATGCAGATATTTAAATGCCGGTTTGCTATTTGCTTGTTTTTAAAAAATATTTTTTTTACATTATTTTATTCTCTTATTTACTAATCGTATGACATATATGGATTGTACATAACTATTTGTATAGAAATTACAACATATTCACTTACGTGTTTTTTTTTGTATTCCACTTATTTCCATTTTTTGTTTTAATATGACTATTGTTTTAAATTAATTGAATTAGCGCGAGTGATCGGCAATTTTTTTTTGTTCCAATGCCATATAAAATATATACTTATGTGTAAGGTTTATTAATCCCAAATTTGATTTGATGATATCGAGCCCTAACCGCCAAAAGGGCGTAAGCGACAACCTGTTCGATTTTCTGTTTTTGACGGAAATCGATTACCTACCACCATACGCACCAGCTGTCAAATTTCAAAGTCCTACGAAGTACCGTTACAAAGTTATAGCGAAAGCAATTTTGGCTTAAGTGCTTAATTGTAATCTGTTTACATCTTTTTGTGCCCGCAGTGTCGGTTAAGCCTTTTTCTCCGTGAACAATTTTTCATTGCGAGGGGAATTGTTACATGAAATGGTATTATAACTTTGGTCCGATGTTTGTAAGTACCAGAACAAAAAGAGATAGACCCATTAAAATGTATACTTATATGATCAGAACGTCGAGCTGAGTTGATTTATCCATGTCCGTCTGTCCGTCTGTCCTCTAAACAATCAGAGGTATGGAGGATATACTTTAGATGGCACCAATCTAAGTGATTTTCACTGCTATGTGATCGGTATGTAAACCGGTAACACAATTTATTGAGTTTAGTTTCCTACATAAAGGAGATATATCGCAAAAACTGGTATCTGAACAATCAGTGCTATAGG